TTTTTTTGTCTTTGAAATGCATCTAAGAGGTCGTTTATTTGGTATTTTTGAAAATATCTACCAAAAAATTTTGGCAGGCTCGAAAATGATTTTAGAGGTATGGTTCCTTGGGCGAAAATGTTTGTTATGGTCCATAGTACCAGAATCGCAAGGATATGAATCAACTTTTTTAATTGACCTACTAATTGACCCACCCTAATATATATGTATGTAGGTTTATTTTGAAAGTGGCATGTCACCTTTTGAAAAAAAAAAATCTAGTTAATGATAACACTAATTACAATTCTATTGTTTGAAAAAAAAATTCCACTGACATGTGAGTAAACTTGCAAAATTAACAGCATTTATTTTTGAAAAAATATAGGAAAGGATTAATGTTACATGACCATATCCTCGAATTTCATCCTTCTACTCTAATAGCTTAAAAAATAATTAAAAGGTCATTTTTCATACAAATTAGACCTCCAGCCTGGACTCCCGATAACCATCTTTTTAAACGGAAGAAAGATGTTGGCAGCCCCAAAAATGTAGACTTATAAGCTCATATTGTTTGTTAAAATAAGTATCCGTTATTTGTATCCCATTTCGTAGCTTACGGCGTATTATCTTTTCTATTCCGTCTCTCTACTACTAAGCACCTTGTAGCTACGCTTTTAACAAATTCTCGCGTTTTCCTACTCTTTTTACTTATTAATTCACTAAATTTTTATATAGGTTTCTGTTTCGAAAAACATGCACAAATTACATTCGCGAACGAAATGCATATTCCCGCCAGCAAGGCCTGCTCGGCCTTGATTTTTTAGCAGATTTTGTAGCGGATTTTACTTCTTTTTGCAGAGAAATTTCTGGTACTTTGATTTGATTTCACGTGCGAGCGCATTGTTTTTCAAATTTTTCATCCGATGAATTTCTGCTAGAAGTCTGGTTCGAAGTTCTTCGCGACGTACCGATTGAATACCGTGAACGAACATGAGTCACTTGAAATTATCAACTGTGCACTCTCGAAATTTAAATTTTTCGCACAATTTGTTAACACGAGCTGCGTACGTTACAATGTGTTCTTCTAAGCGTACATTCTGTAAGCATTTTACTCTTATGCTTAATTCGCGATTATTTCTTACCAAATAATTTATTGATCGTCGCAATGGTATCTTTAAAACTGATGTCACGCGGCTGAGCAGGTAAAATGTAGTCTCGATATTTGTCGAATACATTCATGCATGCAAAATGGTCTTCATACTGTGCATACCACTTGACGAAAGTTTGACCTTCCTCAGGGTCATAAATAAACTCCCGTATACTCTGCAAGAGTCTCCATTAGAGTTTCAGAACCTACCGTTGTGCTGTTTGTCGGCGAGCTCCGCTCATTTCGTCCTGCCGAGTTGATTGTTGTCGTAGCGATTAGACGCTCCAAACGCTGTTTTTGTTGCTCTGTGGTTTCTTGCCGCCTTGCCAAAATAGTAGCCATTCTGGATGTTGCGCGTATTAGAAAAAAGAAGAGCTTATTTTCTCTCGTCCCCACTGTTATGAAGGGTGAAGCCTTAGCTTAATCTTTATTTACAAAATAATACAATACAAATTAGGTTTTAGAAATATACAAAAATTTAATAAAAGTGTTACCGCGTATTACGCTACAACGTGCTTATTAGTAGACAGACGGAATAGAAAAATAATAATAGGCCGTAAACTACGAAACGGGATACAACTAACGGATACTTATTGTAACAAACATATCAGCTTACAAGTCTACATTTTTTGGGGTTGCCAACACCATATTTTTATTCCACATTACACTAAATTTTTAAATATGTTTTGGAACCAATGATTTGAAATTTCAAAGTCCTCTTAAAACATCCCGACCACAGATCAAATAATTTACTATATTTTCCGAGCAGTTTGCTACCAAACGGGGTTTCGTCAGCGCGACTCCATTTCATACCAATTCTTTAATCTGATGTTGGAGAAGATAATTACAGCTGCAGAACTGAACCACTTAGGAATAATGTTTTACAAGAGCGTGGAATTTCTGGCGTATACCGATGACATCGCCATCATCGGTAACAAGAACCGCGAAGTCTGTTCTGCCTTTTCCAAGTTCGATAAGGAAGCAAAGCGATTGGGTCTGGTGGTCAACGGGGACGAGATGAAGTATCGCCTGTCATCAAACAAACGCATTCACGCCATGACCCTCACTTCACTGTTCACAGCTATAATTTCAAGAAAGTTGAGCATTTCGTTTACTTAGGAACCAGCGTTAACACCGATAGTAATGTCAGCATCGAAATCCAACGCAGAACCCCCTTACCAACTTGGACTTAGTAGGCAATTCAGGAGTAAAGACCTCTCTCGACATACAGAAAACCGCACTCTATCAATCATCATGCCCGTGCTGGTGTATGACGCTGAAGAATGGACAATTACCACAACCGATGAGGCGGCTCTTGGAGTATTCCCGAGAGCGCTTTTGTTGTATCCGGCGCAGTGCAGTGTTGAATTGTTGTGCAGCTTCGTCTCTTGAACCGCAGCTATCGATATTCCATGCCGATCTTTGAAGACGGTTATCTCCTCAATCTTGCTCTGGAGTCCGTTACAGTTAAATTTTAGTATGCGGCAGCACACAGTGGTCTGAATTGAGAATCTAGCGGGAAAAATACTAAAAACCATATATGTAATACTTCTATATTGGCAGTAAGCTAACTTCTCAATGTGTAAGCATTCCGAAATCAAAGCGAGACAGTCTAGTACCGTTTTTGTCAATGTATTGTGTACTTGAGTGCCGTTTTTGTATATGTGTTATGTACATGTTTATTTATAAACGTATGTGTTCCTTTTCTTTCGTACGTGTTTATTGATACATCTGTACTGTAGCGTTTTCGGACGGTACTAGCTCTTACTGCTAATATAGGAGTATTACATATATGCTAAAAACGAAAGTTTTCAAATCGGTACTAGGACCGAATAGAATTTTTTATGAATGTCTAGTA